CTCTTTCCCCATCTATACGGCCAGAACGGGGCATATTATTGCTCGGGATTATCTGAACAGACAGGAGCTCACTCACCAAGGAAGTTGAGCACTTTGCAAGTTGACCTCGCATCAGCAGGGGAAGCATCAAACCTACTCTAGTTTTGCTTCACTGTCAATCCCTCCAGTGATTGCAGTCAAAGGAAAAGCATTTTCATTTTCACTGTTTTAACTCCCATTACCCGAGGGAGCCCTACAAGTTTCCACCGACCTCAGGCTGCCCGGCCTGGGGATTTAGGCCAGGCCCAGTTCCGCGCTCGAGCCCGGCCACTGGCACCTGCGCCGCTGGCTGCCCTGGGGCGCCGACCCGCTCCTGTGATTAAGAGCGAGAACCTGGGGAGCCCTGCGGCACGAGGGGGTGGCAAATCTCAGAAGCCAAGAGAAGAGGCAAGAAAGGGAGGGAAGAGAGCGCGGCGATCACAGCGGGGAGGAGCGGCGCGGGACCAGGCGGTGGCGCGGGTGCCCTGGGAGGCACGGGGTCGACTTACCTCCGCAGGTGTCCGCGCAACAAGACAGCAGTAGTAGCAGCAGGAGCGGGGACGCAGCGGCCCCCTGACCGGGGGGCGGCCCGGGGCGGCGGCTCGTGGCTCGCAGCATCCCGGGACCCTGCACGGCACCGGCCCGCGCTCCAAGCGATGCTCTGGCTGAGCCTCTGCGTCCCTGGCGCGCTGTTCGCCCAGTTCGTCCGCCAGACTGACCCACCCGCGCTCTGCCAACTTTTAAATCTCGCGGACACGTGGGCTTGAGGCGGCGAGGTCCCCGCGCGCGTCACCTCCCAGCCCCCGGCCTCCCTCGCGTCACTCCCAGCCCGCTGCCGGCTCCCGCGCCCCCTTCACAAGTTTCTGACTCAGAGTACCACTCATTTTCGTCGCCCCCGCCCTAGGGTCTCTGGGATAGAGGAGAATGGAATTAAAACGAGGCAAGTCCCTTCCCTTCTTTGGAAGCAATGAATGGGAGCTGGAGGGAAATGGCAAGCCAGGCAGCCCGAAGAGGCTGGGATGCCGGTTTTTTTACGCTGCTCTGCCTGGGACGCCCCTTATGCACCTTCCCCAGGAAGCCTTCTCTGCCCCTCCCTCCTGTCCTAGCGCTCCAGTCACCACCTCGGTGCAAGCACCTCTGTTCTGTTCCCTTGCTCATCCTCAGCTCCTGGCCCAACGCCCGGGGCACGTTAGAGCAACACAGGTTCATGGTGGTGGTGTTCCCCAAATTCCTACCTGGTCTGAGACCTTTTAGGGAAAAGCGGTTGTCTGTTAAAGACGGTTAAGATGAAAGGGCTGCTGAGGCTTGACCACACCACATTTCTAACAGTTTTAGAAGGTCTCTGGCTGTCCTGTGGAATTCCAGTCCTAAGGTAACTCCCTCTCGTATGCATTTCTCCTGCTGTCACTCCCTAGCTGTTGCATTCTGATTTCCAGAGTGACCTGACTTCTGCTACCCCTCTCCATACTTTCCTTCTTAAGCGGAAACATCCACGAAGCAGCCTCCGCCAGGGCACCAGCTGATACGGTTTTAATTTCCTTCTCCAGAAAGATGGAAGATGGATCTTGTTTGACCTCCTTTTGAAAGGAACGCTGAGGAAAGGGTAGAAAAGGAAGCACATTAACATTTCTTAAGGGACATCTTTATGTCAGGCACTTTCCCGTGCTATTTCATTTAAAATGCACAGCACCTCTGGGATATAAAATTATTATGATTCTCATTTGATGATGCTTAGAGATATTAAACAATCTAAGGGTACCAGCATGTGTGGGAGCCGCTGGCCATTCTACTCTCTGAAGGTGCTTCTCCTCTAAATCAGGGATTTTAATGTATCAGACATGCACTGTGCAACCCACCATATGCAAGACATGTCCTTAAGGATACAACATTTAGTAATCTTCCTAAAGGAAATTACAATTTAATAAAGGACCCCAAACCCACACTCAAATAGCTGTATTACAAGGCTCATTGGGATGGTGCTCTGGCAGAAATACAGAGAGGGAAGAGAATAACCCTGATAGATAAAGTGAAAAAAGAATGCCTACCACTTTAAAGTTCCTTGTACCCGTGAAGCATGTGAGCAAGGCCAGATTATAGAGTCTGGTCCAGGTTCAAACATGGATGAGAATAGATTTGACTCAAGACTGTGTGTACCTTGATTTGTCCCCAAAGTAGTAAAAAAGCAGTGCAAAGTGTGTAAATGAAATAAGGATGTTGGCGGGGGAAGAAGGCTCTGGTTTCCCATTGCCTTCTTTTGTCCCCTGTGGAGGCGCAGTGAAAGATCACTAGTCTCAGCCACTTGTGTGGGGTGAGCTGTCAATGAGAACAGAAAAACCTGAAAATACTGGGCTCGCTGCTTTTTATACCCCCAGCAGGTCAGGAAAAGAAATGACTTGTGTATTACAAGGTTTTTTCCTGAATGAATCAGGCTGCTCTGGATGTTCCTGTACATGGCCCTTGGTGCACATATGTAAGAGTTTTCTGAGTTATATACCTAGGAATAGAGTTATTAGGTCATAGGGATATCTAGTTAAACTCTGGATTGTTTTCCAATATGCTGTACCAATTTACACTTCACTAGCAGTGCATGAAGTTTCCATTGCTGCACATCCTTGCAAAAACTTTTGCCACCCTGGTGGCTGTGGTATCTCACTGTGGATTTAATTTGCAACTCCCACTACTAATGAGGATGAGTATCTTTTCACAAATGTATTGGCCATTATTGTTTTCTCTTCAGTGAAATGTCCATTTATCTCTGTTGCCCATTCTTCCCCTTTGGGTTGTTAGTTTTTTTCTTACCCATTATAGAAATGTTTTATGCGTCTGGAGCTTTTGTTGGTTAACTGTGTGGCAACTATTTCCTCCCTATATGTGGCTTTTCCTTTTACTCACTGTATATGAGTTGTTATTTTGAAGAAATGCTTAAGAAAAGACTTGCAGACAAAAGGTCGTGCTATTGTGTGACTTGGATGATAATAGAAGCTGAATGAGGAAATGAGGGGAAATAGACACTTTATTTACTTAGGAGCTAAGTGGGGCGGGGGTGGGGTGTGGAATTCCACAAATATCTAAATGGGAAGAAGCTGATTCCCAAGGTTCCCTTTTGTCCAAATATTCCAAAGAAGCAAGATCCCAGATCTCTACAGTGGAGGCTTAACAATTTAGTTAGGAACATTCCAATCTGTATTTAGTTCACATTCATCTAACATGAGCTTATACATGAGTATCTACTACCAGGTATAGTGCAGCATCTAATGCATTCCTACTTATTCTGTTCAAGACTGAAAGTTTGATTCTTGGTACCATGCTGATTCCTCTCACCTATTTATCTCTTGCAAATTGGCAACTGGACTGTGCTTTCTGTTTACAACCTGTAAGAATGAAGGCTAAATTAGATCATGGACCTACAGATTAGTGAGACCTGCTAGCTTGTGACAGGGGTATCTAGAAAAGTCATCATGGAGAGCATTAGGAAGCGGGGGATGGTTGAATGTCAGGAGAATGGGAGAGTCAGCAACAGATGGAAACTCAGGCAGGCAGTAGTTGGCAATAGCTAAGTCTAGTAAAGTCTAATAAAGAGACCCAGCTTTAGGAGCTGAGAGTAGGGGCAAGATCTGGAAGATTTAGGAGTTCTAGGCAAGATAGCCATGCATTCCTTCAAATATTAATTGAGCACCTTCTAGGCTCCATTCTAGAAGCTTGGGATATAGCAGAGACCAAGTCAGTTAAAGTCTCTGCCTTCACGGAGTTGACAGATTTTCAAGGAGAGGTAGATAATAAGCAAGGAAAGAAAACAGAACAATTTCAGATAGTAGTAAATGCTATAAAGAAAACAGGGTAATGAAATGATAGAAGGTGACTGGGAGTTGGGGGAAAGATACTTGACACAGGATTATCTAGGGTTGCCTCTCTGAGGGGATGATATGAGAGGCCTGAAAGATAAGAAGAAACCAGAAAGATCTGTGAAAAAAGAGCCTCAGGCAATGGGACCATCAAGTGCAAAGGCCCTGAGGCAGAAACTGAAAGAAATGCCAAGCCTGAAGCTTCCAGGAGCAGAAGGAAGCCAGTGTAACTGGCACAGAACTGGTACAGAGTGAGTAAGTGGAATATGCGGAGCTGATGTTGGGAAGTAGGCAGGGTAGGGTCCTGATCATTGAAAGGTCTTAGAGACCATGGGAAGGAGTTCAATCTTTTTCTCTAAGTAAAATGGGAAGTCTTTGAAGGATTTTAAGTAGAAGAGTGAGATGAGTCGATTTACATTTGCAAAACATCCCCCTGGCTTCAGTGGAGAGCAGACTGTGGAGGACCCCAGTAGAAGCAGGGAGAACATGGTAGAAGTCCACACCAGAGCCACAAAACTGGAGGAAGTACTGATGCATGCTACAACATGGATGAACCTTGAAAACATTATGCTAAGTGAAAGAAGTCAGACACAAAAGGTTTCAAATGGCATGATCCCATTTATACGTAATATCCGGAAGAGGCAACTCCATACAGACAGAAAATAGATCAGTAGTTTCCAGGGGCTGGGAAGAAAGGAGAGTGACTGCTAATAAGAATAGAGGATTCTTTTTAGGGGCATTCCTTTTAGGGTGATAAAAAGTGTTCTGGAATTAGACAGTGACGATGTGAATATACTAAAAATCATTGAAGTGTACACTTTAAAAGGATAAATTTTATGGTATGTTAGTTACATGTCAATTTAAAGAAAAAAAGAAAGAAGTTCAGGCCAGATATGATGATGATGACCTGTGGCAGAGGACGGTGGCAGCCTCTGCAATTTAGCACAAGAAAAATTTGTCTATTTTTGGCATTAAATATTCAAATTTTGTTACTTAACAAATAACAGTCCTGGATGTTCTTGGTAACTATGAAATCCTCCTCTAGAACTTTGTGAAGGCATTCACCTAAGACATGTCTGTATCAATGACATGTCTGTATCATGCTAGAGTCATTAACTAATTTTTTCAGGGCAGAAAATATATACTTCATAAAACCCAGATGGAGAATGTTGGTCTTAATAGTCACTTTGATATAACTGTTATTTATGAATAGCATCATTATATAAATAATGGCAAGTGGATTTTGTGATGACCTGTTCTAAACGGTTTATAGGACACTCACTCATTCAGGAAGCGTTTATGAAGCCAGTGTCACCTGTAAGATTTATAGACTAACAAAATGCTGAAAACTCTGCGTCTTGTTTTATCTTTTCTAAGACCACCTGCACCTTGTCATGCATCTTCCCAATTTTCTGTTATTTACTGCTTAAGTTCATGCAGGATGATCCACTTAGAAATACCACCCTAATATCAAATTTGAAATTTAGAGAAAAGTTTTTGCTTAAGGGTATCTAATACTGAAGAGTAAAGTTCTGTTGAGATTACGGAAGTTAAAAGCCAACTGCTCCAAAGACTCAATTTAGCCTTTGGCCTCTAAATAGAATTCAGGGGAGAAGCCAACTGTGGGGTTACAGAGCACAGGTTCAAGGCGAGAGGGTCATTTGTGGCAATTACAAGAAAATGACCAAATGATTGGGGGTCTATTTGCTTCTGAAGATGGGTACCTATTATTTAGTGACAAGGATACTTTTCAGCTCTTTCCACAAACAACTTTGG